GACACGCCCCCATTTGGCCGCCATTAAATTATATTCCATTATATTCTATTTTTCTCTCTCATATTTTTAACCACACAATCTTTCATAAAATAATATTATACGTAAATCGAAAATTTTTACTTCTTTTTCAACCACTCATTTTTAAAAAAAATACTATTCCAACCATTTTCATCAATTACCCTTATATCATAAAATAAAATTTGAATAACTCATAAAAAATTCAACAAACTTATATATTAGAAACACAACTTATTCACAAGATGTTCCCTTTTATAATCAAGATAAACAAAGTTAGAGTATTTATCAATCTTGAAAACATAAAAATATAAAATAGAAATTTGAAAAGAAGTCAAAACTCTAGTGAATAGAATGAGAAAGAAATGAATCTTTGAATAACAGAGCTTTGACCAATGCATCAAAAAATTAAATTTATTTGATCTCTCTCTCTTGCCGACCATGATTGAATTAATCATTTGGGATTTTAACTACTAGAATATGCTGAAGCTTATTTTTACCTAAAAAATTCTATAAAAATCTAAGGGTCTGTTTTAATCGTAAAGATGAAATTTGGGTGGAAAGAAAATAAATTTCAGGGAATTGAATTACCTAAAAATTATTTTTTTGAGAATTGTAAATTATTGTGTTTGATTGATATAATTTTCCACGTGAAAAATGTTGAAATAAAAGTGTTTTTTGGCGTTCGTTTGGCTTTATTTTACATGAAAATTGTCAGTTTAAGGGATATCCACTTCTACCATTGTTCCTAGAATTTGTTTCCATTGCCACCAAAAAAAAGGGGAAAAAAAAGATCAAAAAATCACCTATATTTTGGTGTTCGTTTGGCATTGTTTTACATGAAAATTGTCAATTTCAAGGATATCCTCTTTTACAAATGTTCCTAGAATTTGTTCTCATTGCCAACAATTTAAAAAAAAAAACAAAAAGCAAAAAAGAAAAAAGGTGGAAAATCAAAAATCACTTACCCCTAGGAAAATAAAAAGTGGAAAATCACGCTTTAAGATGTTGTACCTAAAAATTCATGAAAAATCAATTCCCTAGAAAATTTGTCAATCAAACATGTCAAAAGTGAAAGTTTGAATTCGAATTCCAAGTTCCATAGAAAATTTCGTGCAATCAAACGGGACCTAAAGCTCTTTTTGAGCTCCATCAATTTGAAGAAATTTATATGAAATACTGATTGTGAAGAATGTGTGGTTAAAAAAAAAATTATTTACGTGTAATATTATTTGAACGAAGAATGCTTGGTTAAAAATGATTGTTATAGAAAAATAATGAGAAAGAATGTCAAGTAAAGGATGATAAACTGTTGCTAAATATATATTTTTTAATTTTTAAATAAAAAATTTAAATTCTTTTAAAATTATACTTGTTTTAGTGTCTAAATTTGACAATAAATAATTATTTATCAATATATAACTACATTTCTTTTTCTAGGCTTTTCTAGACTTGGACCTCGATTTTCGAGATGACAAGTGATAACAGCTGACTCTTAATTGATTGGAGCGTACAATTGGATAGGGCTTCAAATGGGCTTCTCGGAGCACCTTTTTTCCGCTTTTTCTTTTAATAATATTCAAATAGGCTTTTAACCTCTAGAACTTGGACATTGCTCATTCAAATTAACTTTTTCTCGAACATAATATACATGATTAATTATTAGATATTTAACAAGCCCAATATTGATAAATTTATCTTCGTTATTTAAATATTTGACCCAAATAAAATTAAATTATCAAATATATTATTTTAGACCCCTCAACTTTTCAAAATAATAAAAATATAGCTTATAGAACATGAAATTCTATTCTACAATTTTTTTTTAATTCATTCATTCATTATTATTATTATCTGGGTTTTACACTAACTCTAACTCTAATTAAGAGATGCAGAATAATTGCACATGAATTGTACAAATTGCACACCATTTGGTATTGCTCTAAGGTTTTCGGTTGGTGATCGAGTCTGATTTTGGCTCCGGACTTGCTACCACAAAGGCGAAAGCCAGTTATTTTGGGTCTATACTTATGTTCTTTCTAGTCGGGTTCAATATTTAGCCCTTGTTTGATCGTGATTCAAATCAAATTTTAGTTTAATTCAAAGTCAAACAATCAATATTAACCATTTATTTATTGGATTCCACAACTTTTCAACCACATATTTCAAAATTTTTTATTAAAATTTACTAAAAATCTAATTTTAATCCCCACCAAATAGAGGTTTTGATTAATATTATTGTTTCTAGATTTTATTTATTTTTCATGAAATCAATATAATATTTCTATTTCTTGAATTTCTGATACATCGTACATCTCTACGGATTTATTTATTTATCTATTTTTAATGTTAATATAGAAGCAAAATCAACAAAACTGGAATCAATATTCAACAAAGCAAAATCGACAAAATTGGAATCAATATATTCAACATAGGCATGCACGTAATAGAAATGACGCACTGAACTGAACGTACGACAAACGTCATGAAGATGACGAATGTGTGCAAAATCAAGATTGTCAAAGATTCAAAGTGCTACAATTGGCTATTCGCTTATTTCCTTAAAAAAATAATTTAATTGTAATTTCAAATTTAATGGAAAAAACATTGTTTTCTATTGCTGCAGAAGGATTCAAACGACTTTTTTAGACCAATCTGCCGACCTTTGACAATTATAGAGAGGCACGCATGAGATCGAGAGATTAGGGTTGAATTTCAAGTGTAACGTGGGTACATTGACATCGTATGACTTAGCCATTAAGCTTACATTTAATGTTAATCTCTAATAATCCTAAAGTAATTAACTACTTCTCTGACCTCTATTCCGCTCGAGAGGAGTCGAAAAAATTATCGTTGAAACTGAAAATTTTCAAATCCATCCATTGAGACTAGTGGCACAGACTAATGCCTTGCCATGTTATTATAATAGAAATTTGATGCAGAGTGTCCATTATAAATTGTTGAAATTATAATGTGATATAAATCAACGATGAATAAGGGGTAGTAATTGTTGAGTTATATCAAATGGTTTCGACCTTTAAATTATATAGAAATAAGCGAGATCCTTGTTGTACGTACTCGAGGACTAACTTGTGATTCGACAAATAAGTTGGAGACCAAGAAGAAAAATTTGCTCTTATTTATATATTAGTTTCTAGAAGGCTTATTATTTAGGATAACATAAACAATATACACCCTAACATCACAAATTTTAAATATAAAATAAAATATAAAAGAAGAGTTGATGAATATTCTGTTTGGTCGATGAAAAAAGAAAAAATGACTTTAATGAAATATGTTTGAAATGACGTATAAAAAGTCTAATATTATTGGACGACCCACCCAATTATCATCTTCTTCTTCTTCCATCTCTCTTTTTTTTTTTTTTGGTTGGTTGCTGGGGGCGGTTGGCAGAGTCAACCAACCAACTTCTTCTGACAAAAAAAATCAGACTTTAAGGCCTGTTTGAGCCACATTATTTCAAAAAAATGTATTATTAAATAGTGATTTGACATCATTTCAACCATACATTATTCAATAAAATAATATTACACACAAATCAAAAAAATTTCCTAATTTTTTAACAACACATTTCCTATCAATACACTATTCAAGAATGCATTATTATCAAAATAATGTGGCTCAAACACCCCCTAAAGTAAAATTTCTTGAATAAAAACAAATAATTTTATCGACAGCAATGAAAAATAAATAAGTTATTTGACAGTAAAAAAAAAAAAATTAACTTTTTAACTTAAGCCCTCATTTGGACTCCATTAAAATTAAATTATAGAAAAGAATATATTTTCAAATAATGATTTTTTAAAAAATTTGTCATTAAAATAGAAAAAAATTAATGTACACATAATATTATTTTATTGAAAAATATATAATTAAAAAAAAGTATAAAAATATATTCAATAAAGTGGAGAATGTTAGCCAATCCTGGTCCGTCAACATCATTCATGTCCTTTCCATGCATATATTTTATTTTTCAAATTGAGTAATATTGTCAAGAAATAATTCACATTTTTTCTCCAACTACTTTACATCATCGTCCCTTTCAAGTCTGTTGCTTTCAGTACTTTTCCAAATTATTACTTAAAAATTAAATGTTTAACTTATTAATAAATTTTCTTCACCTGTCAAGAAGAGCCTTTTCACGTGTCATGATATTACGTTTTCTAGTACAATTTCCTTGCAGCCTAATCCCAATTGAGAATGGTCAAATATTACGGACATATATTTCAACATAAAAAATAAAAATGAATGAGAAAATAAAATTTCAAGATTCTGTATCACTAATACTGAAGATGACATCTAATATTACTCAATACTCATTACGCATCGCTCTACGTGGTGCGACAGTCCAATGGAGAGCCTCCGTCACATCGGTTGGCCCACCCTCACCTAATGAGGTGAGGTAACGCAAAGTGGTTGGGGCTCCCCATCGAGCGATCGCATCGCCACCAAAGTTTTTTGTATGGACGGGGTATGAAGGCCTCAAAGCCAGAATGGTTTTCCCAAAAAATTAAAGAAAAAAATCTATTTTTTCACTCTATCCGTCTCATAGTCGAAATTACAGAGGCCATATCCATTGGACCATTGCCATTCGAAGGAACATCTAACACCATTGGAAACCATCAAAGAGCACATTTTTCCCATAGAACCTTTAAACAAAGATGTCAAAATAATACTTGAAAGTTTGATTCTATGGCCATTATTTAAACACGTGGACCAAAAATGAAATTCCAAGCCTACATATTCTCACATGGTTTTGCAGCATAGAAAGTCGGCTATACCACTGAAGCAGATTTCTGGGTTCTGAGGCCAAACAAATTTTGAAATATCATGGATGCATCAGGCGGAAGATTCATAGGCTGATGTGCCATAAAATTGACAATCTTTTCATGAACATGATACCGGCATTATCAAGCCCAAGGAATTTAGACAACTGTAAAAATGCATATTGGGATGAGTCAAGAATCAACTACATAATGAACCCGTTGGCAACTTACCGGATCTTGCGACTCTTTGAGGCATGCCGGTCGACAATTCTTCTTTCTTTGTCTGCAATCTTTTCATAGCATAAAAAGCTGTCTTTGTCACCAATCAAGATCGAAATAGATAAGTAGTTGTCGATTCATCAATTCTTTCTATTCAGCTAGTGGCCACTTCTAAATATCCATAAAACTCCATGGACAATTGTTTAGGACCGTAAACTTAGAAAAGACTCGGACCAGGTTTGGTTCTGCCTTAGAAAGTAAACCAAACATGCTCTCATGGAAGGAAGGTGGCTTGGGGAATTTCGATAGCTGGAGAGTTTGCCGTTACATTTATGGTTTCGTGCAGACAAGTTGTCTTCATATCCTTGGAAGGGATTAAAGTGCAAGATGAACTTGTGCTACTGTTTGGGAGAGATTCAGTAGCCATTTCAAGTTGATGGGATTGATGGGCAACAAGTGGAATTTAAAATACTAACAAAGAAATATTGAGCTGCATAAAAGTAAGCTAATTTGAAATTGATTAATTCCTCTTTTTCTAGTGATATGCCCTTCAAAAAAGACCATGCTAGAGGTGAATATAGCGGAAAAGGTAGAATCTCAATATTGAAATTAAGGTTGTCAAATCCTCGGGAGAAAAAGAAACACAATAAACACCTAATGAAGTTAATAAAAAATAAAAAATAAAAAAATCCTCGAATAACAAGATTGGGTATGTGTAAATAATGTCACTCTGCCACCTCAAAAGTAGTCTAACTAATAGCACGTAAAATATAAAGGGAAGATAGTAATAAGTCTAAAACAACGGACCATACCCTAAACAAATCCATTTCACGTTTGCTCAGCATGGTATGGTATATATTAAATGCCAAAGCATCTTACCAGATGATGCTGGATCAATTGTCTCCAAAAACTCCCTTAGTAATTGTTGATAGAATTCTTCAGGGTCACCACTTGCATTTGCATTTGTGTCCTGATGAAAGTTATACCATCAGTTAAATTGAGAAAGGAATATTTTCATCAGCGCCACACCTGTTGTAACTCCAGTATGGAATCCAAGGTCTTTTTTGAGAAAGTGATTAAATCAGAGTACGCTTCACAAACTCCATTAGTAGAATCATAGAATGAGGACCTAATTGGTTCCTACAAATAACATCTTTCAAATACAACGTCATAGTGAAGTACATAAAATTTCGAATAATAGTTATATATATTAGAATCCAATATGAACCTGTCAAAGCCTGTTAGAACTAGAGAATGCTTTTTGCAGCAAGAATCTAAATTCGAGTGTTTTGTCCCAAAGAGCCTTTCACACGATTAGGAAAAGATATCAGCAAGCCATCTCAGTAAAGTCAAGTCAGAAATGGTTTAGGAGAAGAGGGTGAGAGAAGGGAACAACCATGAAAACAGAGCCAATATGCTCCCTTACTATTAGATCACAAAGAAAAAGTCTTTGGTAACCAAAAAACCGTTTTGCTACATTTCTTAGAAAGAGGTCACCAGAAAAATGAAAAAAAAAAAATGTGAACTGAGGTAAAGGTGCTTTATTTGAATGATAAAATGCTGATTAAAAAGCTTCACACCCTTTGATTTTTTACTGCTTGGCCTTTTTGAATATCCTCATCCTTATGGCCCTTTACATTTCTCAAAAGATCTCTAGTGAACAAAGTAGTAAGTTTGCATATAATATACTTTTACAAAAAATTGCCCTAGATAGTCAATAATGCAGTGTCATTGTAAACAAGAATGAAGAGAGACGAGTATGTTGGAGGAAAGATGGGTTTACTAACTTGGATTGGCTAAGGCTTTTAAGAAGACAACACTAATAGGAAGAAGAAAATGAAAAAGGAAATTTGTATTTCTCAACTTCAAAACTTTACACATTTTTTGGCTTGTTATAAAATGGGGGACACTACCCCTTTATATAGTGTTTATATGAAGATTCTAGTCCTCACAATTTTCTAGAGACACTTAGACTACACATCAAGATATTTTCCTAGAATTCTCTAGATATTCTTTATAAAACCACTTATCTTACTTAGATATTTATATAGATTTTTCTAGATAATGTTTCTAGAAATGCTAGGCATGTTGGGCCTTTTAATTGTTTTGGGCCTATAAGCAAAATCCTTAAACCCATATTATTTAGTCCAAAAATCAAGTTTACTACTCAACATCCCCCCTTTAAACTCGATTTTGCTACTCCAAGTAGAGTTCTTAACTTGCGGAACACATCATGCTTGAGTGGTTTAATGAGAATGTCCGTAATTTGCTCCTGGGAGGTTACATATTTCAGCTGAACTTCTTTCTTTACAATACTTTCTCTTATGAAATGATATTTTGTATCAATGTGCTTGCTTCTGTCATGGAATACTGGGTTCTTTGCCAATACCAATGCCGATTTGTTATCAACATGGATTTCGATTGGTTTTTCTTATGAAACTCCAAGCGTCTTCATTAAGTTTCTAAGCCAAATCGCATGGCAGACACTTGATGTAGCTACAACATATTCAGCTTCACAGGTAGATAGTGCTACAATCGATTGCTTCTTTGAGCTCCAAGTGAAAGCTGTGTCGCCCAAGTAAAACACATATCGAGTCGTACTTTTTCTATTATCACTATCTCCACCCCAATCGCTGTCACTATATCCAACAAGTTTGAATTCATTAGATGATGAATAGACTAATCCATAATCAAACGTACCTTTGATGTAGCGAAGAATTTTCTTTGCAATTTTCATATGGGTCATGGTAGATGTCTCATATAGTGACTGATGAGCCCAACTCCAAAAAGATATCTGGTCTTGTGCACGTCAAATATCTTAGACTTTCAACAAGACTCTTAAAAAGTGGTGGGTTTACTTTTTCACCTTCATCATTCTTTGACAACTTGGTTCCGCATTCGATGGGGGTGTATACAGGCTTGCAATCCTTCATATTGAATTTCTTTAGAATTTCTTCCGCATCTTCTGCTTGTGAGATAAAGATGCAATCCTTCATTTGCTTTACCTCAATCCCAAGATAGTAGGCCATAAGACCGATAACCGTCATCTCGAATTCTTAAGCCATGGCCTTCTTAAACTCAGTGATCATACTTTGATTATTTCCTGTGAATATAAGATCATCTACATAAAAACAAACAAGCAAAATATTTCCTTTCTCATTTACCTTCGTATAAAGAGTATACTTGTGAGGGCATTTTGTGAAATTATTTTCTAAGAAGTACTTGTCGATTCTACTATTCCATGCCCTTGGAGCTTGTTTTAATCCATATAAAGCTTTTTTTTTAATTTTAAGACTTTACATTCATGTCCTTTTATTTTATAGCCAGTTGGTTGCTCCACATAGATTTCTTCTTCAAGATAACCATTTAGAAAAGCTGATTTCACGTCCATTTGAAATATCTTCAACTTATTTTGCGCTGCAAAAGAAATAATTAATCTTATGGTTTCTAAACAAGCAACATGAACAAATACCTCTTCATAATCGATTCCCGACCGTTGGTTGTAGCCTTTGACAACCAATCTTGCTTTGTATCTTTCTACTTCTCCTTTAGCATTCTTCTTTGCCTTGTACACCCACTTAACTTCGATTGCTCTCTTTCCTTTGGGAAGAGTTGTCAGCTCCCATGTGTCATTTTTCTCAATAGCCTTAATCTTTTCATCCATGACATCTCTTCATCTTTTATTTTGCGCCGCTTCTTCATACCCTATTGGTTCACAATCGGCAAAAAAATAAAAAAGTGTGAGATCATTTTGATTTTCTGGTACCTCATATAGCTCTTGTAGGCTCCTCATCCGTGGTGTCCTTTCGCTTGAACTTTCTCCTTGTGAAGGTGATGGAGAAGCATCTCCATGAGTAGGTGATAGAGGTGGACTGATGATCTCTTACTGCTCTCCATTCTCTTGTTCTTCTTCATCAAAAAATGGTAAAAAGTCATAGTCTTCTTCTTGGACACCCCAATCCCAAGCTCCTTCTTCATCAAACTCGACATCTCTACTTATGATGATCTTCTCCTTATTTGGATTATACAACTTGTAGCCTTTAGAGCGAGAATCATAACCGATAAAAACATACCTTTCACTCCTGTCATCTAGCTTGGACCGTTTTTGATCTTGTATATGAGCATATGCAATGCTCCCAAATACTCGTAAGTGAGAGATGCTGGGCTTTCTTCCACTCCATCTTCTTGTGGTGTCTTATTCCACACACTTCTAGAAGGCGACCGATTAGACAGATACACGGCGCAATTAACAGCTTCGGCCCAAATTTCTTTGGGCAATCTCTTACTTTTGAGCATACAGCGGGCCATATTAAGAATGGATCTATTCTTTCTTTCGGCTAGTCCATTTTGTTGTGGAGAGTATGAAATCGTCAATGGGCGACGAATTTCATTCTCCTCACAATATTTCTCAAACTTTTTGGACGTGAACTCTCCTCCTCTATCCGATCTCAAGGCTTTTATACTATATCCGCTTTTTTTTTTCAACAAGAGTTTTAAACTTCTTAAAAGTTTCAAAAACTTTCAATTTTTGTTTGAGAAAATAGACTCAAGTCTTAATACTAAAATCATCAATAAAAAGAACAAAGTAATTGCTCTTACCGAGAGAGCTTGGATTAATTGGCCCACAAACATCCGAGTGTACAAGTTCTAGTGACTTCTTAGCTCTTGTAGATGCTTCTTTTGGAAAACTTTTCCTCGAATGCTTTCCAAGTAAGTATCCTTCACATAACTAATCCACGTGATTTATTGGAGGCAAACCTTTCACCATCTTCTTTTTACTCAACAACTTTAAGCCTCCAAAATTAAGATGCCCAAATCTCAAGTGCCTTTTCCAATGCCTAGCATGCTAGCCGACCCTACTCTACTCAGAGCAAGACAGCAGACAAAGCCCCCAGACGAAACTGTGGAGACTAAGATACTAGGTTCAAAGTGGATATCAAAATATGCTTAACACAGACAAATTCAAAGCCAAGCAGAATCTTTAAAACAAGCTTTTAAGCATTTGGCAACATCATTTTGAATGCTTAACGCAAACATTCTCTTTCTTGTCATAGGTACTTTGGCAATCAAATTTTCTCTTTGATCTCTTATTGAAAGACTATGATCTTTCAAATGAATATCATAGCCCTTCTCTAAGAGTTGTCCCAAATTTAAAATGTTATTCTTCATATTGGGCACATAATAGACATTTGAGATAAATTGATGCGTACTATTTTTCAAGCGAATCAAGATTTTACCTTTTCCTTTCACTGGGATCTTGGATTCATCTTCAAAGGTAATGTTGCCACTTACTGATTTATCAAGCTCTACAAACATATTTTTTCTTCCACACATATGGTTGCTTGCTCCTCTATCCAAATACCAAATGTTCTTTTCTCTGCTCTCTTCACCTTTGTAAGTCAACAGTAGTACAGGATCCACTTCACTTTCTCGACAAGCATAGTTGGATTTCTTCTTAACTTGGTTAGTAATATTTCTACATTTTGAAGCATAATGACTAAGTTTTTGACAATTGTAACATTTAATTTGAGATTTGTCATACCTTGGCTCTTCATTTTGTATCGTACCTTTTCCTCTTCCACGACCTCTGGTGGAAAACAAGCTTTGTCTTCTTTCCTCCTAGTAGAATGCACTTTTTTCTCGATCTTGGCCTCGTCCTCTTCCTCTTTGGCTTCTTCTACGGTCGAACCTTCCTTCACCCTCGTTCAAAGTGAGCTTTGTTTGAAGAGCTTACTTTAATGACTCTTCTTTCACCTTCTTCTTTAGTCTTTCCTCATGGGCTTGTAAAGATCTCATGAGTTGATCGACACTCATATTGTCTAGATCTTTAGATTCCTCAATGGCTACAACTATGTAGTCAAATTTAGAATCTAAAGACCTAAGTATCTTCTCAATTACTTGAGTGTTGTTCAACTTTTCTCCATTCCTCTTTAATTGATTAGCAATAGCCAATACTGTAGAGAAGTAATCAGAAATTGATTCCGATTCTTTCATATGTAAAGCTTCAAACTCACCTCGAAGTGTTTGGAGTCGAACCTTTTTCACCTTCTCAACTCCTTTGTGGGAGTTTTGCAAGATCTCCCATGCTTCTTGACTCGTAGTAGCACAAGCTACTTTCTCGAACATGCTTTCATCTAAGGCTTGATAGATGAGGGTGAGCGCTTTCTTGTCCTTCTTCCTTGCATTCTTCAAACTATCCCTTTGTGCTTGGGATAGAGCGATCTCGTCTTGTGGCTCCGTGTAGCCCTTCTCTACGATCTCCCATGCATCTTGTGTCTCAAGCAACGCTTTCATCCTTATACTCCAATTGTCGTAGTTATCCTTGTTAAGTTGGAGAACTTGAAAAGGAATCATCCTACTTGTCATTTTCACAAGAACCTTAGAGCTCTGATATCAGTTTGTTGGAGGAAAGACTGGTTTACTAACTTGGATTGGCTAAGGCTTTTAAGAGGACAACACTAATAGGAAGAAGGAAGTGAAAAAGGAAATTTGTATTTCTCAACTTCAAGACTTTACACACTTTTTGGCTTGTTACAAAATGGCGGACACTACCCCTTTATATAGTGTTTACATGAAGATTCTCGTCCTCAACAATTTTCTAGAGACACTTAGACTACACATCAAGATATTTTCCTATAATTCTCTAGATATTCTTTATGCCCTTGTTTGAGCCCCATTTTGATAGGAAAAATGAATTTTTAAATAGTATATTGATGTGAAATGTGTGGTTAAAAAATAAAAAAAAGTTTTGAATTTACGTGCAATATTATTTTATTTAAGAATGTATGGTTGAAATTATGTCAAAATACTGTTGAAGAATTCATTTTCTCCAAAGAATGGGGATCAAACAAGGGCTATAAGACCACTTATCTTACTTAGATATTTATATAGATTTTTCTAGTAGATATTTATATAAATTTTTTTAGATAATGTTTCTAGAAATATTAGGCATGTTGAGCCTTTTAATTGATTTGGGCCTATAAGCAAAATCTCTAAGCCCATATTATCTAGCCCAAAAATCAAGTTTACTACTCAACAAAGTAATCGAATAGATCACTAGAGGACATTTATGATACTAGTACCATTTACATTTGGAAATATAAACAAACAATTTTACATCAAAGTCGGCTCTCCAGAAATGAGCAATGTCATTTAAATCACTGAGAACACAGTTCACAGAAACTTTTACAAGCATTGTGCCAGCAAAAAATATACTTGGGGTACTTATAGCCCAATAGAAAGTAGCATCTTCATCACCGCTTAAGCCAAAAGCTATTTTCTGAGATCAAGGCCTAGCTCAAGTCAAGAGTGAAGCCTCCCCACGTCAGTGAATTGAGTTTGGCTTTGAGTCTCATCAGGGAGAGGGGTGAAATTCC